GGCGGGCCGCTGCCGCCGACTGCGGGCGGCCGGGGTGCGTGCGGCGGCGCGCCCCCGCCCCGCCCCCAGTCGGCGGCTCGGCCGGCCGGCGGGTCGCCGTCGCCGTCGCCGACGCCGTCGGTTCACAGATCAATTAGCCCGCTCCATTACGGCAAGTTCATTCTTTCCCAGACGCGGGCCAAAGCGAATAGATTTCCCACTACGCGGGCGGCAAAAACGGTCTGGCAAAAAGCCGGGCGCGTCGGCTGCCGACGGCGCGGCTGTTGGGTGCCGGCCGGGGCGGCGACTCTGGCCTGTCGGCGCCGCGGGCCGGGCATGCCGCCGCCTCACCGCCGACACCGCCCGGACCGGGCAGACACCGGGCAGACACTGGCAAACACGGAGCACGCATGGCACACACGGGCAGACGGAGCGCGGAAGGAAGAGACGCAGATGGGGGCAGGTGTGCCTGAAGGCTCAGGCGCCGGCGAGACGTGGGTCAGATACGGAACGGACGAAGCTGGGGAGAGGCAAATAGGTCAGACGCGGGACAGTCGGAGCAGACACGAACAGGTAGAGCAGGGAAGACGCCAAACAGATAGCAAAGACATGGGGTTTTCAGAGCAGATGTAGGCAAAAAGAAGGTGCGGGAAAAGCAGGGCAGGCACGGGCAGACAAGGCAAGCATCGCAGATATAGGGCAAACAAGCACACAAGGACACGCATGCAAGCACGGGCACAAGGTACGCATAATATATAATATAACAAAGCCAGACAAAACAAGCACGGCCAAGACCCGCGCCAGCCTTGATATACAGACCAGACAGAGTACACTTTGCCGCAGACACGACGCGCCGGCTGTTGTTTCGGATGTGCGTAGCGGCCCTCCTCGGAAATCTCCATCCTCGCCGACGCGAGTGAGACGGGGCGGACCTGTCCTCTTTCCCGGAGAGCCGATCCTGAGACGTGCCGGTGTGTCGTACGGAATGTTCAGGGGTCGAGGTCCCTCAGCGTGACACATCGCTGTCAGTGACACGTTCTCTGTGTACTCAGCACTTTCCAATTTAAAACTGGAAGGGAAGAGCCGAACAAAACAGAGCAAAACACATAAACAAAGCGGCCTAGTAAAAAGCAGACGGCGCAATTTCACCGTCTTTGTGTTGGGCATCTTCCGCCCTCTTTCTCTCATAGCGTAACGCGCGCACACAATGAGTTTTGGCGTCCAAGTCTGATGGCATCGTTCACGGTGCCAAGAGCGTGTATAAATGGCTCTTAAAATGACCATCGCTACTGCAGTGGAGGCATTTGCAGAGCCTAGGTTTCCAATTACAAGTCTCCGTAATGCCCTGCAGTTGGTCTAATTGCTCACCACTGAGGCAAATGGATGCACTCTGTAGAAGATGAGTATGTCCTGTCTTTCAATTGGTAGCTGGGAAAGTAATTTCATCCTCGCTCGAGCGGAACACTTGAGTGCCGATTGCTGGGACATACCGGTGAATTATACGATGTTGAAGAATGTGCTTTTATCATTAGAAGAATGAATGATCCAAATGCTAAAGCAGCATCTTATTTAGCAGGCTGATTGTTATTGGTACAAGGCAGGAACCCCCCTTTTAAAATTCCTTAAAACACGCGCTGGGATGGCCGGCTGGATACCCTTCGCTCGGGTAGGGGTCAATTTGACCCTCCCCCGCCTGAGATCTCGGGAACTAAGAGAGTTAGAGACACCAAATTCACAGGGTGTGTTGACCTGTATGTGAACTCTCCTACGTCAAATTTTGACGTCACATGACGTCACACATTCATAGCCAGTGGCGGCAGTAATGTGGGAACCACAGTAGTGCTCTGATATTCCATGGCACCCATGCTGAACTAAAACAGTGTAAAAATATTACTGCGTAGAGAGCAAGTACTTGCTCAGAAAAATGGATAGCACAAAACATATAACAGCGCATATGAAACCAAGTGTAACGGATTACCCATTGAGGATCACATGAAGGCTAAATGTTAGTGGGCCTAAGACGATAGTAAGTTGGTAGGCCTAAGACGGACGGTAAGCACTATGATAGTTTCACGGAATCAATCTGTGCAGAACTGCAGTAAAAAATAATTAATATTTTTTGCTGAGATGACTTTGAAATTAAACCTTTGCCAAGCAAACTTTGCTGCGGTAAGTATGTAAATCCAGCCAAACTGGGAGTCAAGTAAAACGAATCCAAAGGGATATACCTCAGCAGCTGGTATATCATAAACGAGCAGAGTGGCGTGCAACATCTATGAAGCAGAATCAATCCTCGAATCGGTAGGCAGGTAACAAGGGCCAGCACAACATGACGTGACTGACTTTCACCATATATGACTCGCCAGCATAGCCTTACATAGGACTTGATAGGACGACACGCCGGGTGACCGATGTTTACGATACCCGCCCGCTCTGCTTGCGGCATGGCCTGAAAAACTCAGATCTACAGCACGTCACCTAAATATGCCGTTAAACTTTTAGTAAGCGCATGGCTCTAAAACGTTAACAAACAAGCAACAAACAATTGGTTACCATTCGATGGTTTCTGTTTAAAAGGTGGCATGCACCCCAGCTCCGCTCGTGTGCTACTCTCACTTGCATGCTAAATTTGAAGCTTTTCTCTCCTACCCTAAAAAGGCCAACGCACTACGTACATTATTTGATCAAACCTCATTCGCCATGTGGTTTTAAAGGCAAACAGCTGTTCAATGGTCCGTCGACATCAATTTCAAACGACTCGCTGCCAACATTCCGCCTTGTAATGTAAGCTGGGCCACATATCTGCGCTTACCTCTAAGTAGGAATTCTAACTGTTAGTTGTCCTATGATCAATAGCGGGATTACCGAATCCCTCCTTCTCGGTAACACAAGTTTCAGTTAAACTCCTAAGTTTCAAGCCTGTGTGTCCTTGGGTCAGTGGGCTAGCCAGCCAGTCGTTAATATGTGTCGGACCATAATGTTTCCATGCTACGGATTTCACATCATATATGTACATACGGGCTGTAAAGTGATTTAACGTATCTGCCGTGAGTTGGCCCGATTCTGTGCTTTCCTCGACGGCGTTAATGCATTGACTGCATGTCGTGCATATGCCTGGGCGTCAACTAAGGTGAAGGCTTGGTTGTTGGCTATGCGACCTTTCGGTTGTGGCTAGATACGTAACACGTGTTCTTTATGGGTGATATCGATACACATTCTTACACGAGGAACAGTGCTCTCATTTTCAGGAAAGACACAACAGATGATCATTCTCTGTTTACCAACAAAAGCTGACATCACGAGAGAAGAACCCAACCCGTAACAAATCCAGACTCGTGTTCGACTCAATTTCTTTGAGCCGGTTGAAGACCGGCTCACATGCTTTGGGATCCAGTGAAGCTGATAACTCAAAGTCGTTCCATTTTCTTTTGTATCCAGCTCAGTTCAGACTCATCGCCTGCGTTAAAACATTTTTGCCTATGACTTACTATATATATATATATATATATATATATATATATATATATATAATACTATGCCAAATAGACACAAATGCTCAAGAAGAAAGTTTGTAGTTTGAGTTCGGCAAATGGACTTATAGCAAATTGGACCCAAGCAAAATATGGACTTTGCTGTTGGGCAACGAATATTCTCCACGACTTTTAGGGAGAATGTTTGAAAAAGTAAAGAAAATCTTGAGCACGTGGGGGAAGGGTGGCAGGGGTTGGGAGCACGTCCTATCCGACGACGATTCTTAACGCTACTTTACATAGATGAGCACTTGCTTTGGAAAATCAAACACAACGTTGGAAAAGCAAAACTGCGCATGCGCATAGCTTGAAAGAACGACAATAAGCGAGTTCTCTGGTGAAATCTTCTATCTCGAAGCCTAAATGGCCGGGTAGCAATAGATGTCATTCACGCGAGTGGGGTTTTCAAGGGGTTTGCACGCAAAAAGATGCGGTTTACGAAATTTAGTGTAAACTGTGTGGACAATACGGGAGGGACATAGTCCATATAGGAAAACCAATGTGCCCTATTGGTGTCCGATATCATGAACACCTGCGAGCCGTCAAAATAACAACAGGAAATACCCCTTTAGTAACCGTTTTCGGGCAAAACTCGCCCAGGCTGTAATTCAGGTAAGTGTGGACCCTAGGCCCCTTTTGGAGTTCAAAGTCATCTGCAGAGCACAGGGCCACCCAGACAGGAAAATAAGTGTATCTATTCTTATAAAAGTCGAAGACCAAACATTGACGTACAGGGCTCATCATGGCTTAATATGCGAATGTGACGTGTGTCTTGATGTATGATGTGTGCTAGCTTAAAATTGTTAACGTGCATAAGTGATGCCTGACGCGTGATGAGCGAGGCCTTTTTAATTAAAATCGTTTGCATATATATAAATATATATAAATATATATATATATATATATATATATATATATATATATATATATAAGTGATGTGTATTGTGTGATGCCTGTTTACTTGAACTCGCTTGCGTAGTTTGAATGAAGTGTGATGCATGATGCCTATTTAATTGAATTAGTTCACATACACACGTATCTTTTGTGTGTATTAAGTCTTAGTTAAATATGCACTGTGTGGTAGTAATGGTTGACAATTGCTCCTTGCTTAATCCGCTGAATGTTGGTGTCCTGTAAAACTGTGGCTAGTTGTTTAAAAAACTTGAAAAATTGAGTTTTATTAGCAGCGATTTTAATTCACTTCTGCTATTCGTTTCGATCAAGGCATGTTGCAGAAATATCAACTCATCACTATCTCCATCCTCATGGTTTTTCTCTGAGGAATGAGACTTTAACTACTGTCTTATTTATCAACAATATTGTGCTTACTGCCTAAGAACTACAACATCATACCTTCTGCTGGATTCGCAAAGAGCTTTATAGCTAATGCTCCATGCTGTCATTTTAACACCATGAAATGGTTTATTAATTTGCCTGGGGGAAGCTATGTTTCCTCATGTTACCATTTTATTGAGCCATGTGGCTCACTAA